GGGGGGATCCGGGATCCATCCAGGGGGTTCAGGGGATCCAGGATTCACCCCCCATGTCCGGGATCCATCAGGGGGATCCAGGATCCATCCAGGGAGTTCAAGGAGATCCAGGATCCATCCAGGGGGGTTCAGGAGGATCCAGGATCCATCCAGGGGGGTTCAGGGAGATCCAGGATCCATCCAGGGAGTTCAGGGAGATCCAGGATCCATCCAGGGGGTTCAGGGGGCTCCAGGATCCCCCTCCAGGTCCAGGATCCATCTGGGGGACCCGGGATCCATCCAGGGGGTTCAAGATCCATCCGGGGAGTTCAGGGGGATCCAGGATCCATCCAGGGGATTCAGGGGAATCCAGGATCCAGCTGGGGGGGGGTCAAGGGGATCCAGGGTCCATCCGGGGGGTTCAGGGGGATCCAGGGTCCAGCTGGGGGGGGATCCAAGGTCCCCCCATGTCCAGGATCCATCCGGGGGATCCGGGATCCATCCAGGGAGTTCAGAGGATCCAGGATTCCCCCTCCAGGTCCAGGATCCATCCAAGGGATCCAGGATCCATCCAGGGAGTTCAGGGAGATCCAGGATTCCCCCCCATGTCTGGGATCCATCCAGGGGGTCCAGGATCCATCCGGGGGGTTCAAGATCCATCCGGGGGGAGTTCAGGGGGCTCCGGGATCCTCTCCCCGTGTCCAGGATCCATCCAGGGAGTCCAGGGGGATCCAGGATCCAGCTGGTGTGTTTTGGGGGATCCAGGATCCATCTGGGGAGGCTCAGGGGGATCCAGGATCCATCTGAGGGGGTTCAGGATCCAGTTGGGGAGTTCAGGAGGATCCAGGGTCTCTCCCCCCCTCGTCCAGGATCCATTAGGGGGGTTCAGGGGGATCAAGTCCATCTGGGGGGTTCAGGATCCAGTTGGGAGTTCAGGGGGATCCAGGATTACCCCTCTGTGTCTGGGATCCATCCAGGGGGATCCAGGATCCATCTGGGGAGTCCAGGGGGTTCCAGGATCCAGCTGGTGTGTTTGGGGGGATCCAGGATCCATCCAAGGGGTTCAGGATCCAGTTGGGGAGTTCAGGGGGATCCAGGGTCTCTCCCCCCCTGTCCAGGATCCATCCAGGGGGGTTCAGGGGGATCCAGGATCCAGCCACATCCTCGGGGGTCCCCCTGAATCCGGGGGGGCTGTGGGGCCAGGATCCAGCTGTGTCCGGGATCTGTCCATGTCCTGGGATCTGATCCAGCTGTGTTTGGGATCTGATCCAGCCGTGTCCAGGATCCAGCTGTGTCTGGGATCCAGTTGTGTCCAGGATTTGGCCGTATCCCAGGATCCCGCTGTGTCCCAGACTCCAGCCGTGTCCGGGATCTGGGGATGTCCCAGGATCCTGCTTTGTCCGGGATCTGTCCATGTCCAGGATCCCTCCATATCCAGGATCCCGCTGTGTCCGGGGCTGTGTCCCCATCCTGGATTGTGTCCTAGATCCAGCTGTGTCCAGGATCCATCCATGTGCAGGATCTGCTCATATCCCAGGATCCCGCTGTGTCCAGGATCCCTCCGTGTCCAGGATCCCGCTGTGTCTGGGGCTGTGTCCCCATCTCAGATCGTGTCCCAAATCCCACTGTGTCCAGGATCCATCCATGTCCGGGATCCATCCATGTCCATGTCCAAGATCCCGCCATGTCCTGCCTGTGTCCCCATCCCAGATCGTGTCCCAGATCC